TTTTCTGAGGGAGCAATGACCCTTAACCCCCCAAGGAATCTTATGCCTTTGCCACTCAACACCCCAATATTTTGCAAAGTTTCTGCCACTGTCTAAAAGTGCCTCAAGCTATTCGAAAAATAGCGGGAACAACAAGGTGGAATTTCGTTCTCAACCAATCAGCGCTTTTGTTTACATTTCTGCTCAAAGCAGAATTTGTAAAACATTTCATCACATGGAATTTGTAAACAAACATTTGGAAATAATATGGGAGAGCTTTGCTGCAAACGTTTTTTTCCAAGCGCTTTCCTCCCCCCCCCCCCCAATGAAATTGACATATATTGAAAAGATATGGGTATTTTGCCTTGTGCAAGCTTAACATAAGTACTCTATCCCATCCAGACAATATAAATTTGTCTTCAAGCATGCTTTCTAGATTATATAAACAGGTTCCCAATTGGAACATTTTAGTCTATAAATTTGTGCCTTACTAGAATACCCATGCACAAAATTATGAATATTTTACATCTATTTTATGATAATGCAATCCCGTATTACCCCCAGTAACCTCACAAATAGACCTCCCTTCCAAGGCCAGCAACAAGAGGGAGCAGGGGCGGACAAAATACCTGGGTTCGTAGTAATCAGAGGGACCTGGAGACCTCGGCAAAACGTCTGTATCGTTTATCATCACTTTATATTTGTCCTAAATGAAATGTGCCTACATGCACACTATCTGCTGACCATGATCCATAGTAAAATGTGAAATGAACTATTTTTCTTTTTTTCTTTTCTTCAAAAAACCATTTGCCTAACCTTGCTTACATCACATCTTTATCAGCTATGAGATGAAATGAGGTATTTGCCTGTATTTGAACAAATTCATTACCTATATCTCCTGGTAAGTCACATGCATGCACGCCACAGACGCCATCACCACCGAAAGTCTTACGATTAAAAAATAAACTTTGGTGTGGCCATTACTGTGTGAAAGTCAAAAGCAACAGGGGGCCTGTGTTCACCATTTTGTCCTAGGGCCTGCAGTTGCCTCTCGTCTGCCTTGCTCCCTTCTGAAAATAAGGCCTCCCTTCATGCTAGTTAGAAGCCAGTCATCCAAGTGATTTTAAACTTCTTATTTCAGCTAATTCTAACCATGATATTCCTATTAGGGAAAGCTTACTAATTGCTCAAACTAAACCATGGCTTAATAATGTTTGATCTTTTCCTTTAACACTCTTCTAAGTAAGTGTTTCCTCTTGTTAATTTACTAACTACCATGAACATTGTATCTTTCTAATTTGTATCTTTGTAATTGTATATCATATATTTTTTTAAATTTGTTGTAAAATAGATGAAATAGGTTAACTGTATTTAGTCTGATGACACTTGTAATGTGACGAAACGTTACTCAATAAACATTTTGAATTCCAAAACGTTTGTGAACACTTTTACAAATTATTTGCTGAATAATGTTTTTAACTAAAATTGTATATCAATTTCATGGCAAAAAAATAAAAAAAACAGCTTGCAGCAAAGCTCTGAAGTGACCCCCACATGATTCCCAAATGTTTGTTTACAAATTCCATGTGATGACATATTTTATGCATTCTGATTGGCTTAGAGCAAAATTGTACACAAAAGCACGGATTGGTTGAGAACGAAATTCCAGCTTGTTAGCTTAATAAAAGTGAAACACACTTAATAACTGACCTTTCAAGCACTTCCTCTGCAAATCCAATTGAACTTTAACACATCTAAATAATCTCGGAGACAGATTTCCATTTATACATTCAATTGCCTTGTGCACATTGTCGGTACTGTAAAGCCAGATAGTTGAATTACTGTTGTCTAAAATAAATAGAACTAGGAGTTACTATCGCAAGGAAAGTGCTGCCGTTTGGCGACATGAACTGAATGCAAAAGAATAACTTCTAGACAATTCTCTAAAGGGAAGTTTACATTTGACCCAATGCCCTCATTTCCAGGTTTTATCATTGGTAGCATAGCAGGCCTGCACATGAATGTTATATCCCTTATATTTATGATTTAAAGACCAATCACAAACTTATTATTAAACTGTGTGCACGGAACAAGAGTAAATAACCAACATGAAAATGAGGCCATTGGTTGATTTGGTCAAAAGTGGATAAACAGCATACCCATTAGCCTATGGTGTAGACCCCAGCAGAAAAACGTGTTTCTACACCGTAGGCTACACACCCATTAGCTGGTAATGCACCCTACTTTAGTATTAACTTGTGTAACTCCAGACAAATTTACACTCTGTAACGCCCAACGATTTTACTTGTCAGTGCTAGAGTACTGTCAGTATTAAAATGGGGTTAACAATGTCTCTTATTAGCCCCCATTGGCTGGCAATGCGACCTACTTAAGTATTTTACTGTGATACTGTCTATCAATGCTGGGCAACTTTACGTGTGAGTGAGAACCGAGCTGGCCCACCTAACCGAGGTCCTGCTTCGTGTGAATTGAGACCTCGGGTAAACGGGCTGGGTAGTTTTCCATATAAATGCAACAGGGAGGGCTAGCCCTCCTAGTAGGGCTGGAAATTTAGGAAATACGCATGCGCAAAATAATTAGAATAATTCAGAATGCACAAACAACTCCCATATAAGGAACCAACTTCCATATATGGAGTTGTTTACGAAAAAAAATAAATTAGAACACAAAGAGCTAGCCAAGCCAGCTCGGGTACCCAGGCTGTCTCGCTTCCATATAAACAGCCCCTAAAACTGTATCGTTAGGAATTAGGAGATTTTGTTTCACTGAATGGAGTGGTAGTATTGTTGTATTCATATAACATGCACTGACCAGAAAATATGAACTTTGCAAAGTCATAGTCCATAGAGTTGAGAACTCGGAGAGATATTGAACACAAATTTTTATAGGATATAGTGTATTTATATAAATGACAATACTCGACTTTGAAGAAACAATTTAAAATTAAATTCTCAAACTCTTTCATATACATAGTAGCCAGAGACTTGTAGTAGGTAACCATATTAAAAGTGGATAGCCATAGACATGGTAGTCTTCATAGGCATAGCACTGCAGTGATATGAACCCTGTTTCCCTCAATATTCGCAACGTCTTTAATAAACCGCGGATTCATGTTATGATACATCAATATAAAATTTTAAAACACTGAATATGTAAACTAAACTTACACATATAATCACTTTTAATGCATTTGTTCGAACACTGACTGACACAATCAAAGGCAAACTGGGCAGGTTGTTTGACTCAGCCGGCATATAAAATGTTATTTAATATTTAACAGGAACTAAAGTCTAAACCGTAGACGTAGTCTCAAAACCGTACGTTGATGAATACTCCATGAATATTTATCAGTAAAGTTGTAGCATAACATATAAACTGCATTTGTAATAGCTTTAATTTAAAATTATGATCACTTCCTGACATATTGAATATATCTTTCAAGATTGCAAAGACACCGTCATTAGCATTTGCGTTTCCCTGATGTGTCACCCCCTGTCCCCCCCCCCCAGTTTGCCGACGGACATCCAAATTTTGAACAAATCTCGATTCATGTCGACAATACATAACTCAGCCAAAGAGACTGGGCACAAGTCAATGTCAAGAATAGTGTGCTGCCGAACTAACGATCGGCAGCAATTAACTCATTAAGCTGCAAAGGAACTCAAATGTGCCATACTTTTTTTACTCTGTCTGATCATTTTACTCATCAAGAGGAAAGTATTGTGCATCAATAGGTTAACCAAACAATTTGGCAATGTATCTTGTTAACACATTAAACTGCAATGCACCCAAATGAGCCCTACTTTTTTATTTTACTCTGTATTTTTACTGTTAAATGTTTATTTTTGTTATTCTGTCTCAAGAATGATTTCATGAAAATCAAAACATTAGCACAAACCCTGCATGAACAAGCTCTCACAAACAGTACATTAAGGAATAGAGGATCTTGAAACAGAATAGTAAATTTCAAATTCTACTACTCTGGCTGTATACTGTACGAAAACATTTAAAATTTTGTTTTTAAAACCAACTCAAAACCTCAATATTCCCGGCGTACTTAATCGATAATCCGATCGGAAATCCAATCGATCAATCGATGTTAATTATTTAATTGATATTGATTGACATTGGTCAATCGATGACCAATCAATAGTCACAAAAAGTCATAGCCAATTTTATTCGATTATTATTGATATTCATCGATTTTTATCTACAAAATGCTTTCTATCGATTTATATCCTAAATAATCGCTGTGTGTCAGCATGTTCTCGAGCTAAATAGTAAGGGGTCACGTCCATATTCATATTGCCACGCATAACGTCGAATCGACGTTATGAGAGGGTGGGTGGGTTTATCTCAATTCTCTCGATGTTATCTCGATAATCTCGTGGCAAAATGACAATTTTGTTAAAGTTTTGAAGAATGTGACTGCCACGCTCGACGTTATTTAGGGTGGGTGGGTGGGTTTGACTGTTAACGTCGATTCGACGTTATGCGTGGCAACATGAATATGGACGTGACCCCTAAATCTGTTCTCATTTTTCGAATGTACACATGTATTTGATGTGTATTATAGCCAGATGAAAATATAATTTAATCCATTGTTACTGAATTCCGTTCACATTTGAGTTTGTTACAACATTAAAGTATGTATTAATTAAATTACAGCGTTACCTGTTTGATTGCATGCATATTAAGGCCACTATTTGTTGTGTGTTAGTTTCTCATCCCCGCCCGCATGCTTTTTAAGAAAAGGTCTTGTTCGCCATTATTGTCATTATTGCCATTTTTGACCATTATTATAAATTTTGTGATGTCTTCAAAATGATATTTGAAAGAAAGACAATTAGAAACGTTCCCAAACCAAAAGTTTTAGTTAAGATACAAAATTTCATACCAAAACTGCCAGTTTCTCTTTAATATGTAAAGGTTCTACCGGAAGCCAGGGGCAGGGAAAAACGCGAGACAATTTGGCTACAAAATTATTTCTCTATTCTGTGATTATTTCACATGTGATCATTTGGAGCGGCCATGTTTTTAATATGAAAACATGGTTTCAGTTGCACTCACTAATTTTGTGCTGTTTTGCAATGCTATAAATGCTAAATGCGCACTTTTTCAAAGTAATATTTATGGAGAGGGGACATCCGGCAAATAATGGCATAATGGTAATGGCCCGCCCGCCCGCATCAACTTTAGGTGAAGCTCCGGATGAGAAACTAATATGCAACAAATAGTGGCCTAACGGAGGATTTTTTCTTTAATGATAATTAATAATAAATTGATGATCAATCGATGAAATCACAGCAAAATAAGCTATCGATTATTCATCGATTTCCAATATCAATCGATTGATAAATATCGATTGGTATTGATTGATCTCGGTACTCATCGATTATCGATCAAGTACTCTGGGAAAACTATATTATAAAACGCTGTATTTTAAAGCAATATAATTTGACATATCTTTCATATATTTCGCAAAACCAATCCCAAATACCTTGAAGAAGAGAAACCAGAGGAATTCCAAGCAATTTCTAAACTAATCGTACAGCTGATGCAACATTTATACCAAGATGGAGTACGAAAATACAACATAAAGTTTGAGCCAAGTCAAGCTTGAAAAACATCGAATCTCGACCATAAATGCAACCCACAGCTTTCTTTGAGGAGTTACAAACACGTTGTTGTCCATTTGGCAAAGACTAGAGGTTATATTGGGTTAAGATTCTACAAAAATAATGAAAGTTTTTAGGACGAAACCTTCAATCTTTCCCGCGAAATTCCCTGGTGCTACCACTTTCAAACAAGAAATATCCTTCCTGTGATTTTCAAAAACACATTCATGGAATTAGGAGAGATTAGGGGAAGGGGAATGGGTGCCTAGCCCTGGCCACAGGGGTTGCAGCGGGATGCTATTTTTCATAACACAAAAAAGACAAAATGAGATACAGTAATTTGAGTAGTAACATAATGATAAGTAAACTGTGAACAACAATTACAATTCAAATACAGTAGTTGTTGGGCGGGTGGCACACATGACTGACAAAACTCAGCAGTCAACACCAGCCCCCATCAGATCATGCTGGATTCATCCCTGATGTCAACATGGAAACCTCGGAAAATTCCTTTCTTTATGTTTCTTTAGTTTGTGCTATATTAGAAAATATAAAACTTTTTTTTTCCATATATTGATATACAGTTATATCAACACTTGTGGAAATGGGGAAAATTGGAAATTGGGAAAACTCGAAATTGTGCGTGAAAACCTTCACACAATTTCTCATTTTCCCAATTTCCACTTGTGCTGATATTTAACAATTACTTGCCGAAGTCGAAGGCAAGGTGATCATCAGGGAGATGCCGGGACGAAGTCAAGGTGAATATTCCCCAATAATCACTGAGCCTGAGGCAAATAATTGTTTTAGTATTTTTACACAAGCTTTTGTGGATGTATTTTAATTTTGCTTGTATTTCTTTGTCAGTGAACTTCCACAAAACAGGTACCCACCATTACATTTTGCTACATTTACCTGTAGGTGAATATAACAGCCTAGAAATTACATCAAATTTGACCATTTATGTTCACAAAAATACTAAAACTGTATATCAACACAGAAAATGTTTTATGTTTGTTAAGTATTAACCTAGAATCTACAATAAAAAGGCAATGTTAATGTTGCCCTTGAAATTATACTTTATAAATATCCTGTTAACCCCTTGAGTAGCAATGCATCCTACTTTTTTATTCTAATCTGTCTAACGCCAGACCATTTTACTTGTCAGGGAGAGAGCGGTGCCACTCAATTGGTTAATCAGACTCCCATGCATCCTGTTAACACTTCAAATGGCAATGTACCAAGATGCACCCTACTTTATTATTTTATTCTGTCTAATGCCAGACCATTTTACTAATCAGGGAGAGAGTGCTGCCACTCAATGGGTTAATCAGACTATCTGCCATGCATCCTGTTAACACTTCAAATGGCAATGTACCAAGATGCACCCTACTTTATTATTTTATTCTGTCTAACACCAGACCATTTTACTAATCAGGGAGAGAGTGGTGCCACTCAATGGATTAATCAGACTATCTGTTCATGCACCCTGATAACACTTCAAATGGCAATGTATCAAGATGCACCCTACTTTATTATTTTATTCTGTCTAACACCAGACCATTTTACTCATCAGGGAGAGAGTGCTGCCACTCAATGGATTAATCAGACTATCTCTTCATGCACCCTGATAACACTTCAAGTGGAAATGCACCCTACTTTACTATTTTACTCTAATACCAGATGATTTCCTGGTCATGGAGAGAGTGCTGCCACTCAATGAGTTAAATATACAATGCTTTCATACCTTTTCATAGACTTTGCCAGTAGCTTCTATTCAAATAGCACACTATCCTAGAACAGAAAAGCATTTTTTTAAACAATGAGACATTTCTATACAATCATATAAGCATTGCTGATTGTGTACTGATGATGTGGATGAATCACTGACAATCGGCAACATGTACTATGAATATCAACCCTGACTAAACCTGAGAATTAAACTGAAACTATACATCAGTATTCCTGGGTAAATTTAATTTCATAGAAATAACTTTAATACAGTATATTACAGTATAGTAGAAAATGACTTTATTGCAGTATATACATCTAAACAGATCAATTTTTACAGAAGAAATGCAACAATTTGCTAATTCTTTCACTAGTGTAGGTGGTTTTGGTCTTGATGTCATTACCGGTTCTGTTACCAGTTCATTGCATTGTTGTGCTTGATGGCTTGACGTCCAATTATGAGTGACCAGGGTCTTTACTCAGGAGGGAGCATTTGATTTTCAGGTTAATCCCTTTGCCCCACCCCCTTGTCAATATTTGTAACCTACCTTCCCCAAACATCAGGGAATGGTGGTGGTGGTGGGGAGGCATAGACTTTGATATACCATACATACCCAACCTAAGTCAGACCACAGAGGAGAGACATACAGAGCTGTAACTGATGTTTTCATTAACCTTTTTTCAGGCAACCAGGCAAAAAATGATCAACTGCACATGCTCTGCATGTTTTAAAGCAAGCCGCCATCCAATCATATGCATGCATCTAAGTAACTTGCCGAGCATGCACACAAAAAAAGTTTGTACACTAGTTACAACTCTGTATATGTATCTACTCTGTGGTCAGACTGACTGATCTTGTCAATGACTCAAATCCCCCAAACCATGGGGACAAAAGATTTAAAAAATTCAATAACAGAATTTATTTTTATTTTTTATAAATATTTATTACCTTTTCATAGACTTTGCTACCAGCTTAGATTCATATAGCACACTAGTTATCCTAGAACAAACAGGAAAGCAATTTGTTAAACAATGAGGCATTTCAATACAATCATATAAGTGAGTATAGGTGATTGTCTACCAGTGTTGTGGCCGGATAGGTGACAATCGGCAATGCTCTGTTGTGTTTACAAAAGTTATATTATGCATAGATTGCTAATTTGTCCTCCAGATGCATCGTCACTGGCGCTGTGACATTATGTGCAATTGGTCAATAAAATAATGTAAGAAATGTTACATTTTTAACCAATCTGGGATATGGCACCCGGATTTTCAAAATTTTCTGGGGCAGCATCAGGGTCTTAGCTAGGATTTTAGATCTTGGGCGTGTTTCTAATGACCAGGGCGTGCACATGTCAATTACCTTGAATAGCAAAATCACGGTTCTAGTTATGCTCGCCAACAATAATGCTTGTGGTTGTTCTTTGCTAATTTGCAACCAAATACAAGGCGAGCTTACACTCATACTTCACACTGACATTAAAATATTAAGTTATTTCAGCAACTCTTGGGGTTATTTAAAACCATTTTAACACCATACAGTTCCCATTATCCATCAAAATATTAAAACATTACGAATCACTTTTGCCAATTCAACAACAACAGTAGATTATACAAACTTTCTTACGACGTAAATAGGAAGAAATTGAGTCTGAAATTCTGTCTGTTGTAAGTGACACCACCTTATTTTATAAAATAATGAAGCCGCGTTCATTTTATCTAGCCGTGTTTTTCCGCTTTCGGCCACGATAACACGGCCAACACGGCCCTCTAGCTAAGACCCTGCGGCTACCGGATCCCTCTGAGAGTGCGCTTAATGATATCTGTATTTACCTCAAGATCAGACTCGACGCGACAAGACAAATGGATGAACTAGATATCCCATTTTATCGGACAGCTGCTGGTCAGCGCTCTTTTTTATATAGAGCAACCAAATTATATGGAATGATTTAGACAATAACATTAAAGATAGTTTAAGTATTGGAGTTTTAAAAAACTAGAAAGAGAGATACTGCATAATTAAAGAGTGCTGAAACAACTCATAATAATTTTATACTTTAGAATATTATCTATAATTGATTTATTACATAATTGTTTTTGTTTGTGGAAACACCACGTAAATTTATTACTGCAAAGCTTTTTGATCCGTAAGCCCGGATCTTCATCAGTGCTAATAATATGCGACTTGTTTAATTCACACGCTCTTTTTAAATACAAGAGTGTCGTGATCTGTTGGCTCTTTAGTTAAATCATTTGTTGATTTATTATACCCATAAACAAATGTATATTTTGATATATTAGTATATATAGGTCTTCTAATAAATTCATGTAAATACGTATTTAATCTTCATTTTATGACTGTAATTATTTCTGAAAAGCCATTTTGGAGAAATAAATTAATAATAATAAAAAAATAATAAAAAAACTCTTGATGCATGTTACCTACTAGATATATGTGCATACAGCAACCCCTAGCCTGTATGTTTTCAGGGGTCGAAATTTAAATTTTTTGTACTATACAGCCAGAATAGTAGATTTTTATATTTACTATTCCGTCTGAAGATCCACTATTCCTTAATGTACTGTTTCTGAGAGCCTGTTGCAGGGTCCGCACTAATGTTCTGATTTTCATCAAATCATCCTTGAGACTCCTAAAGTGAACTGAATAATTGAATAAATAGAGAATAATACATGGGTGCACGGAAATACCAGATTTATTTCAAGTGTTGAACATGACTTGAAATCAACAATAATATTGGTACATAAATAAAGTGACTTGAAATCAACAATAATATTTGTGCAAAGTACTGTTTAATAAATGAGCAGGAGTGTTTTATTAGGTTTAAACGACCTGCAAGTTTATTAAACGGCTTCAAACACGACTACAAATTCAATAGATATACTGCCTTATTAGTATTCTTTATATAAAGAATACTAATGAGGACACAACTACAATAGATACTGCCTTATTAGTATTCTTTATATAAAGAATACTAATTAGGAGTGTTTTATCATGTTTAAAGCCACTGCACGTGACATATTATGGTTGACATGATTTGCCAATAAGCCTATGAATTATTGAGTGTTTGAAGAAATTAGAATATGCAAGTACTGCAAGCGAACAAGAACTTAGCTACAAAGTGGAACAGTGGCTCAAAGTCCGGTATAAAGTGATATATTATACAAGAGGAAAACCCTTGCTTGTCGATATTTGGTACCACAATTTTTTCTACTATACAAACGGAATACTGTGATCATGAAGTTTACTATTCCATCAGGCATTTTAGTATATTCGGAATAGCGTGAATTTCGACCCCTGGTTTTACAAACATTGATTAACATGAAGTACTTCTAATTGACCAACACAGCTATTAAACCATAGATTATAGATCATACCACATGTCTCACTGTGTATCTATCCCTATTATTTTCGCGTGTGCGACACTTACTGCCAAAATGTGTGAATTACACTTACTGCCAAAATGGTGGCCAACGCGTGTTCATAAAAAATCGCGGACACAATTTTGGCTGAGTGATTCATCTGGTATTATCTATCATCTGTGACTAAACACAGGCTTGTGTTGTGGTGACATGTGTTTCCATGACAACATGACACTGAAAGTTTTATAATCTTTTTGTACAAAACAGCTGAACAGCAACATAGTTGAACAAGTGAAAGTTTTATACATCGAATTTTGGTTGCATCCGAATTCAGTCGGACGGCCGCCTGGCTAACACCCTGCTGCAAGGCCTTAGGAGCCATGTCCATATTCAAGTTGCCACGCATAACATGGAATAGACTTTATGGGTGGGTTTTTACATCAACTCCTGGACGTTATCTCGTGGCAATTCGACTATTTACATCCAAACAGACCGAAGTTTAAATATTTAATCTTTTCAACTAATAGAAGTCATGCAAAACAAAGGTCGAAGTATTGAAGCAACGTTTTGTATCGCAACATTATGCGTGGCAACAAATATGGACAAGATGCTTGTGATGTTACTCGGAGTAGATATCCACACCGGGCAAGCTTGAAAAATATGCCTGACCACGGTGGGAAGCTTGCCCGGTGTGGATATATACTCAGAGTAACATCACAAGCATCTTATTCACCTGAGTACATTGCACCAACACAGAAAATATCGTTATTACTAAATATGGACAAATCACAAATTACTGTATAAACGAATATGAAACCTTAGAATTTAGAAACAATGTCAAGAATTTACTGTATTTTGTCTCTATTAAAGTATTAATACATAACATACCCCATTTAACAGCCTTGTCAACATCACACAGAGAGCTCGTTTATTTTCAAAACAGCTTCAAACACTCGAATAACAGCTGTATATATAAAAGTCCTCAGATTTCAAATTGGTCACCATCTTGGATTTGATCGCGAAGTGAACTGGACCCGAGTTAGCCTGATAACACACTTACGTTTCGCCACGCCCTAAAATTCGCGGGTCGAGGAAAAGGTTCGCTGTTTTCAGGCTAGGCCCGAGAGCAAAAAAAGCTAACCTGTTGCCCCCCGTACTGTTTGGGCAACGGGGGCAGTCGCAACCTCCAGAGTTGGGTACGAAGGGTACGAAGTTGGGGGCAGTTGCCCCCACAATCTCGCTCCCCGAGCCTGCGATCCTCGGGAAGGAACGCGAGGCTCTGGGATAATCCGTTGCCGGAAGCCAGGAATCCTGGCTAAGACTGAACTACGCATTCCATTTCAACGGCCAATCAGTTTCCTCCCTGAAACGGATTATCCCAGAGCCTCGCGTTCCTTCCCGAGGATCGCAGGCTCGGGGAACGAGATTGTTGCCCCCTCCCCCACTGCCCCCGAGGGCATTCAAATTTTAACAATGTTATTTCAATGGTTTGCGGGGGGGGGTCCTAAACTCGCTTGCAAGTCATTATCATAAAGGAATGAATTGCAAGAGCAAAAAGTTTTTAATAAACACAATGTCCATTCATTCTTGGCTTGATGTTCGAAAGATGCACATGCAATGGAGATCGATATCGGAAGGGAAAAATTCACCGCGAAAGGTCTAATTATACTGAAAGCTAATCACCGCCAAATGCAAATTACGATGTAAGTCGAGATAAATAAAAAAAACATACAGAGAAATGGCAAGGTTCATGAAGTGGTCTGTAATCCAACAGCAAGAGAAATTGTTTTCATAAATATCTATAGTTTTCACTATGACAGCTTATAATTCATGCCCGATGCGAAGGAATGGTTTAAAATATTTTCGGCAAAATGGACCATTTGCATTATAGACAGACTAAATTTTGATCTAGACAAAAAATTTCATCACAGCTGAAAGAGCATCACAAAATTAGTAATATTCCAAAGTTTCGGTTGCGAAATGTTGTTTATGCGCATAATATAGCCATGCGAAGTTTGCCGTTTCAGTCATTTTGTATTACGCACGGGAAATTGACAGCCCAATCAGGTGTTGGGGCATCAATTTCCCGTTTGTAATACAAAATGACTGAAAATTGCAAATTTCGCAAGGCTATATTATCCGCATTTTACAACATTCCAATCCATATATGCGTTCTCGAGCAAGGCGGAGAAGTCGAATACGAACGCGAAAGGCTGCTGGGAATGGATATGAAAATTCAATAATTCCCAGCAGCCTTTCGCGGTTGCATTCGACTTTGGCTCGTTTTAAATAGCTGTATGTTTTGAAATTAAGAAACACAATTATTCTATAAAAAAAATCACTCGTATTTTGAAAAATAAGGTTAATTTTTATTCCTTTTACAAAGATCTCTACTACGTTTCTCCAACTTTTTCACTATTATATTTTTTCGATGTAATTTTCTTCTATTCAGTTTTACTTCTTTCAGTTGTTTCTCTTTTCACAACTTTTTCATTATGTAAGACTATTTTTCATTATTTTTCGATGTAATTTTCTATTATTTTTTCTTCAATATTTTTACATTTATTTTTCATTATTTTTTCAATGTAATTTTCTATTATTTTTTCTTCACTATTTTTACATTTATTTTTCATTATTTTTTCAATGTAATTTTCTATTATTTTTTCTTCACTATTTTTACATTTATTTTTCACTATTTTTACATTTATTTTTTCAATCTAATTTTCTACTATTTTTCTACTTCTTTCAGTTGTGTTTTTTTTCCCACAATTTTTTCACAATTTTTTAATTAGGTTTCTAGCATTTTTTTTCTACTATTTATATTTTACTTATTCCAGTTATTTTTTTCACTGTTTTTACATCCACTTTTCGTTATCCTTTATACTATTTTTTTCATTACAGAAAGTAACTATGAACTGGACGCTATTGAAACTATTTTGGGGTTGGTTGTTCACAAGCTTGTTAGCTTAACCCTAGGCCAAAGTTGACCTAAACTTCAAAGAAAACCTCCTGCCATCTTGTTTATCAACTTGGAAATATTTTTACTGAAATGGAAGTTATCTTTTCTGAAGGTTTCATGCAGAAATGCAAACTATTAAAACAGCTGGTCAATTTGACACAAGGTTAGCACTGATCGTAACCCTATAGTTTAACCTAAAATTCCAAATGAACTCCCTAACAGCGTTTTTATAGATATGGAACTATTTCCTCAAAAATACTGTCTGTTATCAAGAGTTACTCTGAAGTTTTGAAATAAACTGACATTCAGAAATACAAAAATAAAAGACAAGATTAAAATTTAACCAAGGGTTAGCCACTAATCCAGTTTTGACAACCAACACCGGGATTCCGAAACGATGACACTTGGTTAGTCTTTTCATTTTTGGCCATTTCAAATATTTTAACACAATACATAATAAGGTAAATGATGTAAATTAAACAATTATTATAAAAATCACATTCTATCATAACTCATTTTTCGTGGGACACAGGGCAACTGTACATAGCCGTCCCACATCAACTTCCAGTAAAATGTGAACCAGTCTGAAGTTAATGTAAATGCAGAAGAATACACAGGAGTTGGAGGTCAACAAACAAGAGTCGCAACTCTCTCAGTATTAACTCCAATCCCATCGTTTCACCAAAGCTTTAGAAAACCCTTGTGTCGGACAAACAACTTGAAAACAACATCTTCCGAAATGTGGAATTATGAACTCCAGTTCTATATGCAAATATATTACGCAGGTAAGTGGTAAGTAGGTGCAATAAGTCTATATTCTTGATTTCCGAAATAATTTCCCCTGTAGTCTCCCTTCCCCTCTTATCAACGCCTACGGCAACCAGACAATTCCTCATGTCAGAAACATTGGGGAGGCATGATTTTACTACAATTAGTCCCCCTGACCTTTTCAGGCTTGGTGCCCGATGGTCTCAACAGATCTCAGTCAACGCTCATGTTGTGACTGAAGTTTGTGAAGTGGAATGTCAGGACTGTGCTAAACTGGAAAAGTAAAAAGTGTACTTTCAAGTAAAATAAGAAGTGCAGGAGAGATGGGTGTATATCTGATCAATATTTTATATATTTAAATGTAATAATTGCAGTAATTGGAAGTGCAATGAAAACCTTTACCAAGAAAAGAACTCGCAAAAACGTCAATTAGCCCACCTGACCCTTCCCCACACTAATTATTATTACAACGAGTGCCACATTCCCCGCCACCGGCCTCACCTTCGCCGCCACTGTAGCAGACGTCAACCATTTAACAACAGAAGGTAAATTACACTTTTATTTAGTATGGTCAATATTTACACAGATTGCTATTTAATACAGTTGATTATTTAGTGAAGGAGAGGGAGGCATGGGTAATTTTTTCACCGAACCCAAGGTATATAACCTATATACAAGGCAAAGGTGTACGTAGTACATCTTTATCAGTTTTGTTGATTGTTTATATGTTGTTGTTAACTTTAAGATTTGTTTGTTTAGGTATCAGTATTAACTTAGCGGGCTTCACGTGACCATTGTAATCCAAGTTTGTTGACATGAAATGTGCAGTAAATAATCACAACAATAAATTCTATATAGTCAATATAAACTGATAGCAACCCACAAGGTTTTTGATAAAGATATTTCAAGTTGAAACAGAAGAACATGTGTCTTCAATTTTTGAGGTAGGAAGATGTTGGTAAAAAGAAGCAGCATGTATTTGTACACAATATTTACGAAATGAATAACTCAATCTGTTCAGTTTTTTACAAGCAAAAGATATCTGCACATTATCATGTGTGTGTGTCAGAGATTTATGAAGATTTGCAAGGATTCAAAATTGTGGTAATGAGTCCATTAATTCATATTAAATACTATTTCTTCTAAAAAAGTTAGCCACGGTACAGTACATAGTAAACCCATTATTAAACCCCCTCCCCCACTAAAAAACACACTCCTTGCTCTCTAATGATTCCCCCTTTTTTTTGAGTAAGAAACTTCTCCTTAAGCCCCCCCATCCCCTTGGGCCTCCCATCTCTCTCTTTTAGGTCCCCCATCCCCTTGGCTTGCCCTCTCTCCCTTAGGCCTCCAACCTGCCCTTCACAACAAAGAAACACTTGCTCGGAATGCTCTCACCGAGCAGACTTATGGTTTACAATCGAATTATGAAATAAAGCCAACGGTTGTAAACTGTTCTCCCTATACAGGTCCTGTGTTGTTTCAAGTAGGAAACAGTATTTATGGACCAAACACAATAACCATTATATCAGTCTCAACCCTTCAGTAAATTAGTTGGGTTTGGTTGCACCCTAGGTTTTATCTTTATCGACAGTGTTAAAACTTACTTCATAATAAACGTTTTATACAGTGAACAACTTTACAAAAGAAGTTATCAAATCGATTATCCCCTGATGATCAACCGACAAAGATTATATGAAAGAATCCCTCAAGGGGGCTTCACAAAGGATTCTTGGCGGAACGCTTTCATTCTGTTCTATCACTCTTATCACGTGGTTACTCTTACATACTCGTATCACGTGGTTACAATAGCTCTTACTGTATTAGTTCTAAACTGTTCTCCCTCCAGGTCCTGTGTTGTTTTAACCGAGGGTTAAGGATAACCTAGCTTTGAACAACGCAAAGTAACCTTGGGTTAAAATTTAATTTAACCCTAGGTTAAGCAAATTTAACCCTAGGTTAGGCAAATTTAACTCTAGGTTAAGCAAATTTAACCCTAGGTTAGCGTTAATCGGCTTTTGAACAACCGGCCCCAGATGCATCTTCGCCGGCGCTGTGACGTCATGTGCAATGAGTCTATTCGCCTTGTGGTGAATGATGATCAAACTTCCTTCCAAGTGGAAACATTATTTGCGAGTTTGGCGGGAATGTTTTGTTGAACCGCGAAAAAAATTAAAGTGCAAAGAAAATAACTGATTTGTTGGATAGTTGGTTCGTTTGTACGATTTTCATTATGCACTTGTTGTGAATGATTGCTAAACTCACCTGTTCGCTTCGCTCACCCGTTCGTTTGCAATCTTTAACGACTCGCGCATAAAAAAAATGTACATGCTCACCAACCATGCAGTGTTCTCTATGTATTTAATGATTTTAACATTGCATATTTTGTATCCTATGTTTTTGGCAGTTGGGTACAATGACCGGTAATTTTGTTTCATGACGGGCACAAATTTATTTGTGCTGGTCATTTTGACAGGCAGGTCCCCGAAAATTATTTCCAGGCTTGTATACAGGGTGTATAAAAAAACTGAACAAGTGATGATTCTATACTACATGCTGTCCACACATTTATTACTTCCCATTCCATATTGAGGCATTCACTTGAATGGGAAAATTATTACTAGGGGCATATACAATTACCTACTTAAAACATATAATCTTTATAACAGAGTCAAGTTCCATAGAATATGCCTAATGAAATTGGTATTTTTTTCTTATAGCTATAACACAAACCGTTTAATTGAGTTTAGATAATTTGAATCGCAGAATGTGGATTGAAGAATAATGTTCCAAGTATCTTGGTGAGAGCAATTGCCACGAGTTGTGTAGTGTGGATGGTTCCATAATTAACGACAATATGAACACCTGGGACAGACACGCTATGTCTGCGTTGTCTGTGGACTGGTCTTTACGAGGGGGGATTACTACCTGGTACACAGGAGGCAGCTTCATGGTGAAGGTAAATCATCAATTATTTGATTGCACATAGCAGTCTTTTATATATATTTGAATCACCTTATCCTTGAAAGATTCGAGACTTCTCTTAATTCACCATTTGTGAAAAAGATATTGGCCGAAATGCCAGATCAATTGGCCTATTTTGGAGCCGAATTGTTTGATGAATAAAATTGTTAAGGTCGGAGAGATGAATTTTCAAGAAGTTGCCAGTGATAATGTTTCAATATTTGATATCAGTACGAACCAGTACAAAAAGGAGTGCCATCCGTTGCCTTACTGTGTTTACGACATGGCAACAGCAAAATATGGCGAAAACATTGTTGTACTTGGCGGGCTGTCTCAGGAGAACGAAGTACTTAACAAAGTTTGTATATATGTATAACCCAATAACCCAAGAGAGTAAAATGCTTCCGTCAATGTCTACTAAAAGGGTGGGTGCTGCTGCGGCAGTTGGCATGGATGGTAACAGCATAGTCATTGTTGGTGGGAAAAATGGGGCAAACTCAGTATTGAATTCAGTAGAGAGGTTTGATTTCAGTACTTTTACGTGGAAGGACCTTCCAAGCATGTACAAAGCCAGACACTTACCTGCATGTATTTGTTGTTAATTAACTTGTCATTAAGTCTACTTTGTGTGCATGTGATGTTTTCTGTCACAGAGATTGAAAAACTGAGGATTTTTCAAGATTGTGTTGAAACGTCAATATTTAACTTTATCTTCTGTAGTTCTGTGTGACATTGTGCAATTTTAATAATAAATCACCAATATGTGGTCGAAATTATTGTAGATAAATGTAATGTATTTTACACTGATTATTGTGTTAACATGAAATATTCCCATTGATTAAATGAAATTTATTGTAACTGTTGTACCAGTGCATGTAATTATTGTAACTGTTGTACTATGTTGACTGCAAGGATCGATGAGTAGTAGCGAAGTAGTTGTAGTTCGCTACTGTAGCGAACTACAATTTTCAAGTAGCCAGTAGTTTTTGACGACTTTTTTAAAACAGTAGCTGCAGTTATAGCGAACTAAATTTTGCCTACTAAAAGTATCCGAGTAATTGACTACTTTTCAAACAGCGAATCGCTATTGTTAGCAACTTGATAGAATAGAATGATATTGAGACACGGTTTGCTTAAAATCAATACTCGATAGTCAGTTTGCACTTTTGAACACTGTAGTGCTTACAAAAATGTTTCCTTGTGTTTACTGTTGACACTCGTAAGTGGATTTGTTATACGTTACATTTCAGCTGAGTTAGTAGATGCTCCAAATACAGTAACAGTAAACAATATAGCGTAGTGAAATAGCGAAATAGTCGCTACATTTTTAAATCAGTAGCTGTAGTCAGTAGCGAACTACCATTGTTCAAAAGTAGCAGTAGATGTAGCTGACTACATATTTTTGAAGTAGCTGTAGTTATAGCGAACTACAAAAATTTTGTAGTCAAACCCACCCTTGGTCAATATTTACACACAATGCTATTTAATAGTGTGGGTGAGGGGCCATGGGTGATTTTTGCAAATTTTCTATATATTTTTTACACATGTTGATGGGCAATATTGGAGTTCTGGTAGGTGTATTAATTATATTTAAATGCGTGTATTTTTGTTTTTGTCAGATAAAATCGCCTTAATAATTGGGAATATGGAAACCTTCCCCCAATGTTATTGGACATTACCAAATCAATTGGCAGAAAAATTGAAGGCACTGGGGTTTGTGGTAAGATAAGTGACAAAAGGAAATAATTTGTGATATTTTCCTTCTGCTAACTTTTCATCATCATAACTCCAATATTTTCCAATATTTTCCATGAAAACCGCACAGAGCAGGAGATGATGGATGGCGGCGAAGCCATGGCCAAAAGAATTACGCCACAATCAACGGTAGTAACAAAGAAAAGAAACAAAATTGTTCATTTTAAGATGGTTCAGTGTACATCTTTGGAAGATCTGTAGTACTGATTCTATATGTTTTATTACATTCTATATACATTTTATATAATATTTGCAAGTTGAAGATGACAGATGTTGACGCGGGATCCACTTTTATCATGTTTCGTTGGCATATTTTATCATGTCCCCCTCCCCTCCCCCCCCCCACCCAGACCGTATGTAGACCTACTTTAGCGGGTTTGGGCCGCCACAGCCGGCCAAGTATAGGTATGACTAGGAGACTACCTCCACTTCCCACCGGTAAAAGTGAATTTCCACCACTGTGTCCTTCCTTATACTGCCATGAAAGATTCATTTTATGAATATTTCTCATATTTCTCATATTTCTCATGTTTATTGTAATAAACATATACAGGTGTCTCCAGTCACGGCTTCCAGTAGCCGATGTCCCTGTCGACCATGGCGAAAGGGGTATTGCATCTGTGACAATGGTATGCGCAACTATTATACTTATAGATGCACTTGTTGTTAAATATTTTTAAACCGTTATTCTACGAATTCGAGTTGAATATCGGTAGCTGTTCTCATATTCGATGCGAGTGAGTGAGTGGAAAACTTTTTATGCTTTTTAAAGACGACGCTCCCAGCATCCCGATGGATCCGACCATACCAAACATGATACTTGGCTGTGCAATGTAAATGGTTCTACATATAAACCCTTTATAAAACCATAGGAGTACGGGGTTGACACTTTTAGGGGGGGGAATGCATGCAACTTTCATGTCAGTATTAGTTTTATTTACCCACAAATAATATTTGCAAGTTGAAGATGACGAATGTTGACGCACTTTTGATTTTATCATGTTTCGTTGGCAGCAACGAAAGGTAAGCAATACATTTATTTAGTACAGTCAATATTTACACACAATACTATTTAATACTGTGGGTGAGGGGGCATGGGTGATTTTTGCAAATTTTCCGTTCTTTTTTAGCCATGTTGATGGGCAATATTGGATTTCTGGTACGCGTGTTAATTATATTTAAATGAGTGTACTTTTGTTCTTTGTCAGATAAATCACCTTAATAATTGGCAATGTGGAGTTTTCCAATTGTTTTCGGACTTTGGCAAATCAACGTGACCTAAATTCTACGTATAAAACGGGCCTAAGTCCCTGGTCCTACGGTTGAGCATGCAATGGAATATGCTGAACAAAATGGTCATTTTTATTTCATATCACGTGGTAATAACCCGCCGATTAAATTACCAGAATTTAATGAGGAGTTATATAAAGCTAAATTATATACATTTTATATCAAACCCAAAAAGGTTGTATGCTACCACCCATGTTGCCGAAGATAATGTTTCGATGTATGATATTGGTACGAATGAATTCAAAAGAGTGCCACATTACCATATGCCGTGTATGATATGGCAACAGTAAAATGGGGTGACATGCAGTATTATTGTACTTGGGGGGGGGGGGTTCTGATCAGGATGAACCACTTAGCAAAGTCAGCATGTACAAAGTTAAAACCCAAGAGAGTCAAATGCTATCACCGATGTTGACCAGAAGGGTGGGTTGTGTGGCTGTTGCTGTGGATGGTTCCACCATAATTGTGTGGATGGTTCCACCATCGATCGACCCATGCAATGTGGTAAACCTTTATTTATATATTTATTTGTTTGCAAGATTCGCCACACATTACAAGACAATTATACACTTGTACGACGAGACACAAAAACGTATAATACGTAATGGTAGGGACTGAACAGAGATTCGAATCTAAAAGCATTTCCCATTGTCCATACTAATCCTCATAAAATTTTTAATCTGAAATCGAATGCTATGTCCTCCATAATGCACACTATGTCCATCCGTATCAGGCAAAACAATATTCGGTACACCCCTATCAGTAATACGTTGTTTATTTTCACTTCAACAGCGTGAACAACGACGTCGATGGACGATACCTAGTGCTGATGAGAGGTGAGTGCTAAAGATGACCTTAAAATTTTACACAGAATTACAGCAGAAGTCTTCAAAAAAGCGGTCGTTTCTCCTACAGTTTATGTTTTTAGTGGCATGGACGACCAACGTACTGTACATACAGTATTAGAACGATATATATCAAATATGGATAAGTGTTAAGGTATGGTAGAAAAGCTCAATTTCTTTTCTAGACAAAACCAACGGCACTTGGCCACTTTGGGCTGCTGTTGTGAGCTATATAAAGAGCAACTCTGAGGCACACCCAAACACACCGAAAACATGAATTCACATGTGCGAAGATACATAAAAGGTCCAACAGCAGGTTATATTGCCGCCAGTGTGCATGCAGCAGAAAGCCACTCAGAAAACATGTTCATATTATAAAGGTAGAGTTGCATGTGTGTGTGTTTTTGTGGTAACTTTGCCAAATCAACGCGACCTAAATTCTACGTATAAAATGGGCCTAAGTCCCTAGTCCTACGGTTGAGCATGCAATGGAATATGCTGAACAAAATGGTAATTTTTATTTCATATCACGTGGTAATAACCCGCCGATTAAATGACCAGAATTTAATGAGGAGTTATATAAAGCTAAATTATATACATTTTATATCAAACCCAAAAAGGTTGTATGCTACCACCCATGTTGCCGAAGATAATGTTTCGATGTATGATATTGGTACGAATGAATTCAAAAGAGTGCCACCATTACCATATGCCGTGTATGATATGGCAACAGTAAAATGGGGTGACATGCAGTATTATTGTACTTGGGGGGGGGGGGTTTCTGATCAGGATGAACCACTTAGCAAAGTCAGCATGTACAAAGTTAAAACCCAAGAGAGTCAAATGCTACCACCGATGTTGTGGATGGTTCCACCATAATTGTGTGGATGGTTCCACCATCGATCGACCCATGCAATGTGGTAAACTTTTGTTTATATATTTATTTGTTTGCAAGATTCGCCACACATTACAAGACAATTATACACTTGTACGACGAGACACAAAAACGTATAATACCTAATGGTAGGGACTGAACAGAGATTCGAATCTAAAAGCATTTCCCATTGTCCATACTAATCCTCATAAAATTTTTAATCTGAAATCGAATGGTATGTCCTCCATAATGCATACTATGTTCATCCGTATCAGGCAAAACAATATTCGGTACACCCCTATCAGTAATACGTTGTTTATTTTCACTTCAACAGCGTGAACAACGTCGTCGATGGACAATCCATAGTGGTGATGAGAGGTGAGTGCTAAAGATGACCTTAAAATTTTACACAGAATTACAGCCGAAGTCTTCAAAAAAGCGGTCGTTTCTCCTACAGTTTATGTTTTTAGTGGCATGGACGACCAACGTACTGTACATACAGTATTAGAACGATATATATCAAATATGGAGAAGTGTTAATGTATGGTAGAAAAGCTCAATTTCTTTTCTAGACAAAACCAACGGCACTTGGCCACTTTGGGCTGCTGTTGTGAGCTATATAAAGAGCAACTCTGAGGCACACCCAAACACACCGAAAACATGAATTCACATGTGCGAAGATACATAAAAGGTCCAACAGCAGCTTATATTGCCGCCAGTGTGCATGCAGCAGAAAGCCAATCAGAAAACATGTTCATATTATAAAGGTAGAGTTGCATGTGTGTGTGTGTTTTTGTGTAAAAGTGATGTGCTTGGATGTCGAGTTTGGTAAGGTCAACAAAAGGTAATTTTCCTGAACGTTCCGTACATATGCCATATATACATTGTGATAGTTGAGACAAATATTCGACTACAAATAACTATGCCTACCAGTTCCCTTGGCTTATCGCTTAAATTATATATGGTTATTATATATGCATTTATATTCATGTGATTATATAGGGTGTATTGTAGACTTAATTTTCTTTCCAGCCTGTCCATGTCAAGCATTTACCAACAGAAGGTTTACGATAGATTTATTTAGTATGGTCAATATTTACACACATTGCTATTTAATACTGTTCATTATTTATGGGGGGAGGGAGGGATGGGTGATTTTGCAAATTTCCCCTGACTGGGGCCACACCATATACATGAGATTATATAGCCTCTTCAATACAGTGCCCACTGCATGGTCCAGTGCAGATTACTTTTATTCTTTTTTACTATTTATTCAATAGTGTATTATACATTACATTCAAAACAAATACTTGTAATTTTTATGATAGAAGTCCATGTCCATCCTCACATATTTTTACTCATCATGCCACACAAGCTGGAGTTCCAGAGTTGTGCGGCACTTTTTTAGCACATACATTTGGAGAAGAGTTTTGGAGATTGTGTCATATCAATATCTTCAAAAAAAAACTTCCCAATTTTCTATGTCATCCACTGCAGATAACAAACCTCTGAAAACAGGAACAAACATGCCACCAAACAAAATTCCCAACCACCTGCAATCGCGTCATATCTAAATATTCTGTGAGTAATGTAGTGTAAAATGTATGTTATATAAAAGCAAGAAAGTTTCCCATTATTATTTTTGTTGTAAGGAGGAAATTTTTGAGTTATAATTTCGATACACTATAGCCGGAAAAATTGCTGGGTGCTGGCTTTTACCTATACCTGCCAACTGCTTTATCCATGTTGATGTCCGGAGTATAAAACAGAGCTGGTGCAATCAAAATTGGCAAAACAGACCGTGTTGAAAATTTAAGCATATAGACAAATTGCTCCTACAATTACCAGGCCGAAAATTGCATGCACACATTAAAAGAAACCGGAGTTCATAATTCCATATTCCGGAGTAGCAGTTCATTTTGTCACTGCCGAACGTATGTCACGCACAAGATCATTTAAAAGGCTGAGTATATGGAGCACCCATCCATGACATTTGACTGTCAACTACCATGAACTCTCTCATGCACGATTATCCACTGGTTCAATTTTTACAAGATTTGAAGCTATTCGATATGCACAGTAACATGAGGTCAACTTCCATCAGCATCCATCCTAGGGTTAGGCAGATCTTACAAAAAGGACCAAAAATGGCACTTTATTTATTATTCGATTTTGTTGGAAATTATGCATTTCTTTGTAAAAATGTCTGTTTTTCCAATTATTGATAAATTACCTCACCCCACATCGCCCGTAATTGTTCCTGGGCTTAAAGTCTGCACAAATGTTCATGGAAATTGACCAGATGTTGGCAAACCTAGAGCTGCTCTCATTTATCAATTCATTCCTAAAAATAATCTATATTCGTCTGGAACGATGTTATTTTCAGATAGCAAAGTCATGGCAATGTTACGAAACTAAAAATTGCCATGGATAGTTTGTCAACTAGGAATTGCATTTCCAATTTTGCTGTCAAATAACAAACAATCTTTGAAGAAAAATTAATCTGTATACATAAATTGAGTCAATGAGAACAGCCCTAAATGAATTTAAATATTGAGCATACCTCTCGATGATCAATGAAATAAATTAATGCACAGTACCGTTCTCCAGCTACGCTTTCAAGATCACATCAATTTTCATATGATTACCATTTTTGTATTGGTTTAAGCAGCGTTGTTCCTTCATATAACTGGCATCGATCTTGTGCTCAGGGAACTTAAAGCACCAGCTGCATGTAAATCCACTGGACCAATCTGGTGCATGCAGCACTGTTCTGGTTGACAGTGTTCATGTCGATTTTTCACTGGGAGACATTGTTACAGTGACACAATCAATCTCCAACATTAATGAACCTGTATCAGAGAATTTTTGCTGTTCTCTCACGGCAACAACCTACAAACACAGAATATAATCATTAGAAAGTACAGATGCAGGCAGTATATTAGAGAGAGGGGGAGTGCTAAGAGTGCTCAAAACATCGAAGTATAATCTTCATTTGCAAGGCAGGAACTTTGCAACACACCACATAAAAACCTCATTAGTTTCCATGTACACGACAATTTAGTTAAGGCCAATGTCTCTGCAACCACAGCTAATAGCCCTATGTTCCAAATATAGCCTTGCCCTTTTCTATACTTTCAACTGTACTTAATTGGCTGCATTAATTACTGTCTTTGCCATCAATAAACACAGTCAATGACCATTAAATTGTTGAGAAAATTGGCCATTATTGCCATATTTTACATTGGCTTTAATAATCTAATTAACATTTTGATTGGTTGTTATTTTCGTGCATCCAAATCACTGTCCACTACTTCTGTAGCAGGTTCTGCATAGAAACTGACACAAAAGTTACAATCACAAAGACTCTAATTATAGCAATGGTGGTGTACTTTCATGAAGTAACAGTATTATAAATTGAAACCATTTCCACCACCTACAAAGGAATATTCAATAGACGATTCCCCTTGTTACGTTTTCATGGTTATAGTGGTATCACTGATAAAGATAGCGGCGTCAAATGGAACTATTGAATTTTTCGCAAATATTTTGCTGTTGGCTATCGCACACCTGACCCTAGCCTTTTTTAAAAGTTCTTGCACAGGACAGGACAAAAAAGCCATCTTGAATATCAATGTTGCCACTATAACCATTGGGCTAGTATTCCAAAGGTCGTAGGTTCGATTCCCACCGTGGCCGGGCATATTTTTCAAGCTCGCCCGGTGTGGATATACACTCAGAGTAACATCACAAACATATTATTCACCTGAGTACACAACACCAACACAGAAAAAATACAATGCAAAGTGGTACGAAAATCTAATAAGGGGAATCATCTATTAAACAACTAATTATAGCTATTTAACCCATTGAGTCGCATTGCACCCTGATGCACCCCCACTTTAGTATTTTACTCTGTCTAACGCCAGACAATTTTACTCGTCAAGGGGAGAGCGCTGGCACTTAATGGGTTAATCAACTTACCATTGTTAATGAATGATTGCATAGTAAAGGTGCACAGATTTCAGGTAAATTTTGCTTCCTTCTCCATAATTGTTTGTATTTAAATTGGATAGTCAACCATTGATGAAGTTGTCAGTCAGAATTAATTTTGCTTCTTTCTCCATAATTGTTTGTATTTAAATGGATAGTCAACGATTGATGAAGTTGTCAGTCGTCAGAATTAATTTTGCTTCTTTCCCCATGAATTGTTTGTATTTAAATGAATAGTCAACCATTAAGTTGTCAGTCAGAATTAATTTTGCTTCTTTCCCCATGTTTATGAGCTTCTTTCTCCATGTTTAGCAGCTGAAATTAAGAATCTCTGATCAAGAATTGTCAAATAGTGGTACATTGTATAAAATATTCCCATTAGGCCAAGTAAAAAATTTCTGGTTTCTCATCAGCTACGCATTAGGAAATAGCCACAGTAGTTGTACTTTTTTATAAATAACAAAATTTATAAATACTGTATTTTAAATAAATAAACATAGAATAGTGTTTTTTATTAACCCATTGAGTCGCATTGCACCACGATGCACCCTACTTTAGTATTTTACCCTGTCTAACGCCAGACGATTTTACTTGTCAAGGGGAGAGTGCTGGCGCTTAATGGTTAACTGGCCTATCTGCCCATGTGTCTAGTTAATCCATTGGGCCGCATTGCACCACGATGCACCCTACTTTAGTATTTTACTCTGTCTAACGCCAGACTATTTTACTCGTCAAGGGCAGAGCACTGGCGCTTAATGGGTTAAAGTTCTGTTGTTAATATAAAAAAAAACAAGCGTACTCATTGTCCGATACAGATTATCAGTGTTAACAGTAAATGGTTTATTTTGTCTATTTAAAAAGTACAGTTGAACTTTTTGTCAGCTTTTATTTGTTCTTGAAAGCGAGTTGACTTTTGTCCACCACATTTTGATAATTCAAAACTGTTCATTTTTTAAATTGTTCCTTCAAAACTTATATTTTTTCTTAGTTAATTTCTCTGATCAAGAATTGGAATGTTGTCAAAGTGTACAGGAGTTGTAGAATAAGCTGCATGAAAAAAGCATAAAGTCACTATTTAAAGCAGCAATAAGCTGGGAGAAATCACAATCTAAATATATATAAACAAGTCTTTATCTAAAATCAAAGAATTTATGTTTTACCTTTATATAGCATGATACTTCAAGACCTGAGGGGACCTGTAGGTTGTCCAATATGATAAACAATTTATGACAATTAATCTTCTCCATGGATAGTCCTTTTCTGGACCAGGAGCAAACGTCGTCTTGAGTGAGTCTGTGCACACACATAACATGAGGCATAATGTGTTTGAAGGCTCAATTAGGAACCAATTAAGCATGTGTATTGAAGAAGAAGGGTGTGTCTTGTTGTGACTCGTTTCTCGCGTGTGTGCCCCCATTGCTGATGCTGCGGATTTGTGGACTGAGCTGTCTCAACAGTTCACAAGTTTTGCACCAAGTTGGTAGCATCCACATTTTGGACCACTGCATGAGGCTCAAGCAGGCCTTGCTATAAACAACAGATGTATAAACAAATAATAAGAAAACTTATTTGGTAAATTTATTCTAGATAAGCAACTTGCAACTAAGAGGGGGTAATTTATTGGGACATTTTCATACTCCATACTGCATAACATAATGATTTATTCTTTGTTCAGTCATCTTTTCATTAAACATTTTTCTATGTTACCAATTGTGCATATCATATGCTTGTGGTGTATTTAATATTTGTTAAGGTGGAGTAATATGCCACAGGCAACAAAATTGCTGCAACATGCAACAAAATCTGATTGCTATGCATCTTGCTTGTATGATGTTACTCGGAGTGTGTATCCACACCGGTCAGGCTTGAAAAATATACATGGCCACAGTGGGATTCGAACCCACGACCTTTGGAATACTTGCCCAATGCTCTTTCAACTGAGCTACGCGGTCAGGTCGGTTCGAGATGTGATATTTCGGAACTGAGTCTAGTTCCTTTGATATCAATATAATCTAATAATCATGATATTCGCTGTTGTTGGTGCAGTGTACTCAGGTGAATAAGATGCTTGTGTGATGTTACTCTGAGTGTGTATCCACACCGGGCAGGAATCTTAATTGAAAATGTTCACACATACATTACAAATCACAAGGCAACATGTGTCAATGTTTATTTCTACTTAACATGTGTTGAAATCAGATTTTGTCGATGGTCCTGGAGCCAGATTTTTCAACTCTGTTGGGTGTAGGAGCATCGTGGGTCCCATGTTTTAGGGGGTGGGGCAAGGGCAACATTCTTCCCACAAACACATTTTTTCCAAAATAAATAATGTGCCCATTGATAATACCTTATTATAGGACATTAACAATGCACTTAATTAACGCGGATTTTAAAAATTTGTGTGAATTTAATGTTAATTTATATGATCGTTAATTTTAAGTATGTAATTTTCATTTATCGTTAGTTAAAAATACCTAGATTTGTTTTGTATAACACTAACTCTTTTAATATCAAAATACAGCATATTAACGTAAACTAAAAACATCAGTGCTCCTCTTAACATTAAACCTTTGTTGTTGTTGTGTCTATACTTTCCGATTCACATTAATTTAATTAACTTGTCGACCGTGGAGATTAGATTCGCATTAATATAATCATGTTTTAAAAGACCTAGAAGCAATCCGTGTTAATTTGATGTTGCATTAATTTATATCGCGTTAATAAAGTGCATCGTTAATTTCCTATAATAAGGTATATGAAATCATATTGAATTAAATATGGACTATTCTATAAATTTATAATGCGAAATCTATATAGTTATCCATGTTTCGCACCATCAAAAATGAAGGGGTCCCGCTTGTATATGCAGTTATGGTCCCCCTTGGCCACAGCACCAGGGTGTTAGCCAGGATATCAAAAGTGGCCATCCAAAATAATTTTGTGGGCGTGGTGGAAAAATTTTTATGGGCGTGGTGACATGTTTTTGGGTGTGGCCACAATTTGAAAACGCACATTTGAACTTCTGCACACGAAGCAGCAGTCATGACCAACCTCAAAGTTGAAATATGGCAGCCGAATGAGCTTCATTCTTTTTATTACAGAAACAAAGACACTGTGCTATTAT